CTGGTGTACATGGGTGTACCTCCCTGTAAGAGGACAGCTTTTTCGGTTTGCAGCAGTATCTGTACTTCTGAACTGCATCATTCCAGAGCTCTGGTCGGCTTTCTTTGGGGGGAAAAAAAAAAAAAAGGAAAAAAAAAAAGAGGGATTTGCTCTACATCTACAGATGTTACTCTGTCTATTGCTTTGGCATTAGTGTCCCTGAAAAAGCTTAGTGTTGTCCCTCCAGAAAATGTTACACAGGTTTATAGGAACAGTCTGAGGCCCAGGAGCGAGGCGAGTTATTCATGAACACACTGGCTAACCTTTGCCAGTTTTCTTCTCGTTAGTAGCTTCATACATGAAAATACAGGAGCTGCTGTCAAGGAGCAGGTGAATGGTCCACCCATTACCATGTCACTGATTCTTCCATTCCCCAAGACTGTAGAGGAAAGTGATGAAAAAGCAAATAGTAAACAAATAGATTTGCCTGCTAGCAGGGAAGGGAGACTACTTCTTATCTTCATGCTAGTAACTTGATTTCTCCAGAGACACAGAAGCTTATAACCCTACATCAGATGGGATAGAGAAAATATTAATACTTTAATAATTTATACAAACATCTATTCCTTTTAATAGCCTCACTAAGTTTTTGGCTTCAATGGTTATTGTAGGAGGTTAACTGTATCCTCTATAAAATTACTTCCTTTTATCAGATTTCAATTTGTTGCCTTTCCGTTAACATCTTTTTCTTGTGTTATATGAAAGACTAGAGAGCAGCACCCATTTAACCTTCTCTACGATGTCCATGGGGAGGGGGGGGATACGACTCTGTCACATCCTTCTAATCCATGCCCTCTCCAGGATCAGCATTGCCAATTTTCTGGCAAATGCTGTTCCTGTGCACCTAGGAAGCCTTTCAAGATACCAGCTTCTCTTTCATCTGTCATGGTTCTTCCAGTGCGGTGGTCAGAGCTGCAGGGCACTTAGGGAGGACGTGCCATTCCAGTCTTGCAGTTTAATGCTGTTGGGGCATCTAGTTCTGCTCAGCTGTTTCGGGGAGAACTGGCTTCACCTGGTGAGGCTGGCAGAAATCCTGCTTCACTGAGGAGCCCATGCAAAGAAAAAAGCTACAACACAACCTTCAGCAATCCCAGAGAGGAAAGGGACTGATTGTTCTTTAGCCTTCCCCTTTTTTTCTTTTCAACAAACTCTTAGGAAAGAGTAGGAGCTGCTAGAGAGATAACGAGAATAACAAAAATCCCTGCAGTGCAAGATGTGTGGAGGCTCGGAGAGTCGTGGTACCATCTGTGCCTGTCTATTTACAGCCAGAACAACTAACGCCCAACTAATGGTGAAGAGAAGCAGAGCATCATGTCATGGAGACAGCTCTCTAATCTTACATAAAAGCAGCTTTCTGAAAAGCCTGAAGCCTTCAGATGGAGAGAGGAACGATCACAACTTACACTTAGGAGGGCTTATTTATGGAATGGTGGAAACACCTCTGTTTCAGCCACATCCTTTGAACCATCTTCAGCCGAGGCTCTCAGGCAAGCCTGGCCAGAGCTTTTTCAGCAACACAAAGTTTACTACACACAAAACATGGCGTTACAGATAGATCCGTGGCTACAGAAAAAGACCGGTAATGAGGGGGAAAGCAAGCACCCTGTGAAAGCAGCCTGCTTATTTTGATTTAAAAAAAAAATTTTTGTATTTGGTAGAGCTGCTGTGTGAAAAAAATAGGTATTAGTTGAAGGGAATAAACGAGCTCTTCCCATGTTTTGAAAACATATATGTTTAGGCTAGAATTTTAAAACATAATTTTTGAAATATAAGGAAAACGCAGAGTAAAATCCACTGTGTTTACCTCCATAGCATTGTCCTCAGGGATAATTTTAGACCCCGTGACTCAATTTGACTCCAGCAGGGAAAAGAGATTGGACTGGAAGAAAGTATTGTTTTCAGGTGAAATAGTTGCAAGCAATTATCCACCTAATGAATGGAGCTGGGCACACAGGGAAGGAGCAGGGACACATTATATTCTGAAGCAGGAGACACACCTGGGGAAAGGAGAACTTGGGGGCCAGAGAGAGTCCCAGATGAAGGAAATAAAAGGTAGAAAGGAAGGAAAAAGCATTCGGACTGGGGAAGTCTCTGAACAAGGGAAGTCAAGTTCTGTGTCTGTGGTTTAAAAGAAAGTATATAGAAAAGAAAATTAGGTTTCACTTAAAACGCAGCTTCCAAGGAACTAAGAACATATAAAGAAGTCTCTAAAAATCAAAGGCATTTTTGGATTCATAAAATGTATGTGTTTAAGTGCTCAGCTTTTGCCATTGGAAATTTTAGACGCTAATGATGAATAAACATCCAGCTAAGTAATATCTAAAGTTATAAACACTACCAGAAAGTGTGCTAAATTTGCTCACTGTTCTATCTCCACTGACTTCAGTGGAGCAGGGAATTACTCTCTCTGTCCCTTTATGGTTTTTTTACTCATTTACTTATTTCAGAACAGATATCTAGACCTCTGAACACTCACAAAAGTATAATAAAAAAGGAATAAAACCCACAATACAAGAGAAGAACAAATGGTCACCACAAAGACAGGGTACACTCAAATATAGTCACAGCCCAGTGGAGAGAGGGAGTGAGCCATTACCATCATCTTATCAAAAGTCCTGGAAGAAAAGATGAGTATTCAGTGTTATGTTTGCTCACAGAAACAGGCTCCTGCAAGAGGTTGGTCTTTTTCCCTTCTGACTGTCAAGTTTCAAGGGATGAAGGAAAAATATCTCATTTTGCTGGTAAATTGTGAGGCTATAGAACTGTTCTGTGACCATCCAAACTACTGCCTCGAAACATCTCTGGAGAACTTCCACCAGCCTCTCAGAACTCTAATATGTACAGCCCAAACCTGCTAATTAACAAAAGTGCCTCTGAAGATTGTACCACCAAATAGATGCAAATTATGCCTCTAATTTCATTCTTCATTACATTCCTTGTTTCCCTTTGATGCTGTAACGCCTTTTTCTCCCCATGACAACACACTAGCAATGACTGATAACATCTTGAAAGTAATTGCTAACATTTGAAATTTTATTTTTCAGCTTTAGTTTTGTAGGGACTTTTCTTTGACCACATCTGGGGTTTCTTCCTAATCCTGCTTCAGCTTTCTCCAATCCTCCAGGAATTGATTCCCCTTTTCACTGGAATTCTACAATTCTTTGCTCTTGTTCTCTGCTTTTTTTTGGCCAACTATGGCAAATAGTTATCAGACCAACTTAGGATGTTTGTAAAAGCAGGAATGACTGCAAATCTAGTGGGGTTGAAGCCCGGCTACATGGCCTCATCATATATAGTTTGTGAGGCGTTTATGCCTCTATGACATATACTCTATGACATTTTAGGTAAGAAATTCCCTTTGACATCAGAGTTGCCTAAATACCTTTGAGGAAGTGGACCTCTGACAAGGATGCCAATGCAACTTGCCTGCACTAAAAAGAAAATGTATGTTTATTAGAAAAGGAATGGAAATAGAATTAAATGCCCCAGCAGCTAGTCAAAAATAAGTTTCTTTCTATAGATAATAAGGACATATATATATATATCAGTATATAGATACGAATATTACACATTCTTATAAAAACAATAAGATTCTTTTATCTTTATGTATGTCCTATAGTTGTTGGGTAGCAACAACATTTTCAACACTTACACAACTTCACACAAAGCAAACTCCTAATAATAGGAAAATTAAGACATTTGGAATAATTTGATGCTATGTGAGCTATGAAAAGATGTCCTTGACTATTCAATTGTCTGCTTTTTACATATTTGCCTCCTTGGCAGCCATACATTTGGCATCCAGCATTCCCTACCTTTGGCATTTCTTGGTTGTTTCTCCTTTTGCAAGCGAAAGATAATGATAGTACACCTTTCATTGTTCAAAATCAAGCTTGTTCCATAAAGGAAGCACAGGATGAACTGCTGTGGTGTAGCTACCCAGATCCCACACGGGAATGCAATCAGAGGAACTGAATGTCCTACGTGGGCTAGAGCTAAAGAACGTTTCAGATGCAGACACTCAAATAGCGCTATAATTTGTCTACGGAAGAGGTTGTGGAGACATTCCTTTGTTTAATGGACCAGAATATACCAAGGATATGTTATAAATTTAGTAACACTGACTTAGGTTTCAGTGTACTGCCAAAAATAAGTATACCAAGTACTCTTAGAATGGAGAATGAAAATAAAGGCAGGACTTAATCTGATGGTAAAATGAGGTATTACTGAATCCATCCAACTTAACAACTTAATCATTGAGTAAAAATGAAGTAATTGGTAACATGTACACTAAATAACTGTTATGCATGCCACAGAAGAGGTGAAGGCAAGAAGAGATGTCTTATTACACAATCAGCATAAAAAGCGGCATCCGGACTGCAGAAAATCATCACAAATTGTAGTAGAGATCCATTCAATGTTCAGCAAATCCCCTTAAATATTGGCAAACATTTCTGGGTCATGCAAGTTTTCCTGAGTATAGTCATAAGGATGTAATATGGTATGACCACAAATCTCTCTCTTTTGGAGAATTATAGGAAACTAGTTACCCTACCGAGATCACAAAGGAAGGTTTTCAATTCATAGCACAACCAGAGGAAATGGGTAGGCTAAAAATAATAACTCAATCCTCCTTTTATTCTTCAGGCATCCCTAAAGAATGACATTTTGGGGAGGGGTGTCATTAATACAGGGAAGTATTTGTCTTGTGTTAGAAAAACAGAATAAGCTCCTTAACTCTTTTGCATAGTCATGGAGGACTGACTTCAAAGAGGTTTTCTGTAGAAAAAGGGCCATCGTTTTCCTTCAGCTGTGTCAGAAACAGCCATTTTACCAAGTAATGGAGTTGATTCTGCTTGTTGTAGACTGTAAGTCATTTATCTTCTAAAGGAGAAATGCCAAGGCCATAACATATACATATATATCTACACATACATATATATATGCACGCAGACGTTTACCTGGCAAACAGCTGTACCATTCCTAGCTGCCTGTCGCCACATCTGTGTTAGATGTTGCCAACTGCCCCAGCTCTGCCAGTGGAATTGTGCCTTGTGAATGCTCCCTCACCTGAAAAAGAAAATGTTGGTGGGTTCATCTTGCTTTTAAGGATGAATATAAGCCAATAGTCACAGCGCAGACCAAACAGAGCTGACACAGCAGGGCGGTGGGCAAACAAATGCTCCAGGTGGTGGGTGGCTGTGAGCCCCAGGAGAGCCATGAGCAGACTCAATGCTGTCCTCGGGTGGCATTGCCAGAGTCAGGAGAAAACATCTGCCCAGAGCTGTGGGCAGATACCAGTCTCCTTGACACAGAAGATGATTGTGAGCTCCCCGTACAGTTGGCGGCATCTTGACCACCTGACAGTAATGACTCTGTTTGGAAAACTTCTCCAAGTGAAACCTGGAGCATTTGTCCTTATCTATTAAATCAAGCTGCTGATCTCTCAATAAACAGAGATGGAGAACTTGCATTCACATCAACACTGGTTCTGAATAAAAATCTAGTATGATACTACACTCAGAAAAAGCATGTCATGTAATTATTGACATGTTTTTTTCAAAACTAAGGTCTACCTACAGTGAACAGGCAGGCTTTAATTGATTTCCCTACCCTTTCATATTTTCCCTTCAACCAAAATCAATGTAATTTTAGATTCAGTTCCTCTGGTTTGCTGTTTGCATTTTTTAAAATCCACTTTTATTACAACATGTGTTACCATGTAGGTTTCCGATTCACTAAACTATAAATAGAGAGATTTCCTTGCTGTGTCCTGTGCAGCTACTTTAATTGCTCATGTTTTCAACCAAAATCAATGTAATTTTAGATTCAGTTCCTCTGGTTTGCTGTTTGCATTTTTTAAAATCCACTTTTATTACAACATGTGTTACCATGTAGGTTTCCGATTCACTAAACTATAAATAGAGAGATTTCCTTGCTGTGTCCTGTGCAGCTACTGTAATTGCTCAAGGTTGAATGTTCGGTGGTGTTAATGGGAACTCTACAGGGTGATATAAATATACAGCAGGAGAATCACAATATAGGAAAATGTAGATGAGCCCATCAAGAAATGCATAAATGTAGGCATTAGGTTAGATAAAACTAAATATAGAATTAGATTATTTCTTTGTATCTGGTTCTGATGTGATACAAACAAGTGTATGGCAAATCCAATGGCAAATGCAAATTTGTGCTTAGCATTCATATTGTTTCCTCCTGTGAAGAAAGGGATTAAAGTTTAGGAGTGGGTCTAAAGAAAAAGATCAATGTATGGAAAGAACAGCCTGAATTCATTAGGAGGTTTGACATCAATGTTAGAGCATTAGTGAAGACTGTCTTAGGTTTCACAAACTCTCCCCACATTCCAAGACCAAAAGCAGAGACTTCATAAAGCCATTTTGTTCATGAGACTCCTGTAAGCATTTCTATGTCTTTGACTGCATCCCACTGTGAGCTTTCCTTGAAGTTTCAGCTCCAGAAGTGCCCAAAAAGAAGTGAATTGATCACAGATGACACCTGCTGTTTACTCTCACCCTCTGAGTTTCACATACTTTCAAATAACACACAAAAAAATTTAGCCAGTAAAAATGGCACAAATACAGTACAGGTTTTCCTTAAGAGATCTGCTTTATTTAAAAGATCCTGCATAGAAATTCTGTCAGTCACACCTGGTGCTAGGCTCCGATTAGCAGAGAAGGTCTGTAAATCTGAAGCTGAACTTGAGATGAGTTTCTGAGGAAAACAGATTTCTATTTACCTCATCTATAATAATAATTTCAAGCAAAACAGGTCTGGGATGAGGTCACAGTCTTCACCCTACCAGGGATTATTTCCATCTCGTTTTCTTTGCTCCAGACCTGTCAATCCTCATGCAATGTGTTCCTCCTTCTCTGCCAAGGGCTCAGATATCACCACAGCTGCACAGCCTTTCTCCATCTTTGTGATACCCCATACTGCATGCCCAGGCTGGCTTCTCTAGAGCTTGGCAGGACATCTGCTCTGACATCCCGGGCTGAGAGAAAGGCATTAACAGTGCTCCACATGCACTGGGAGCTTCTTGGTGGGGCTTCATGCCTCTGGGTGCCTGCTAGAACATACACATCCCAGCTGCAGTGCTGCGACTCTTGTCATCCTGTGGACCAACACACCCCTGCAGTGCCCTCGCCAGTGACTCACTGCACTTGTTTTCCAGGAGGAAGAAAGGTTTCAAACAGGCAGGAAACTAAAGCCACTGAGGTCCCAAATCACCATGACCACTTACCTGGGTAGGTAACTGTGAGCACTTGCCCAGTCCTCTCTGGAAGTCCTGCTGCAAACGTGTTCATCTATCTTGCTAAACTGGGGGTTTAATACCCTTGAATTTCATGTCAAAGCCACAAGCGGCAGTCACCTGAAAAAGGATCAGGCAAGGAAGTGCTGAAATTTGAAGTTCCTAAACCAGAATTTAGGCTTCACAGTCTGCTTTCTGCTTAGGTCACGTGCCTGGGCAGTATCACATTCCAGCCCTCTCTCTGCTATGAACCCCCTAACTTCAGCAGCAGAAGTTCCCAAGTCATCAACTGGAAATAAACCTTGCTCTCCAGGGGAATCTCTCCCTGCCCTGGTGACAAGACAATCTTCCAACCATGAGCCTTGTTTCTCCAGCCTGGACCATTTCTGGCCCTGATCTGTGCTCAGGAAGCCACCGCTGACTCAGTGCCCTGCACAGCTGGAGAGCCTTGCCTTGTGGCAGCCCCACATGTCCTCCTGATGCTCCATGCCAGACCATGGCAAGGGCAGGTCTAAGCTGCAACTGTTGGCTCAACAAGTGAAAAGCTGAGCAGAAGACCAGAAGTATTTAAAAAGCCCTTGGAAATCAGCTACCAGGTCTTTTATTTTCAGCAGGGAGAGAATAATACCAGGTCTTTTATTTTCAGCAGGGAGAGAATTATATGCTGTTATCTTCTTCCTCCGCTGTTATCTTCTTCCTCCTCTCATGCCAACAGTGTGACACGAGGATGCCCACTGGTGCCACACCTGACTCAGAAGTGGAGAAGATCTAGTCCAAGCACATATAGGAACCGGCAACAGCGCCAACAGTGTGACACGAGGATGCCCACTGGTGCCACACCTGACTCAGAAGTGGAGAAGATGTAGTCCAAGTACATATAGGAACCAGCAACAGCATGAGCTGGTTTACTTCTTACCTCCTCAGCCCCTTCAGTTTTCCCCTTCCTTTTATGATTTCCTAGAAAAGCAAAGTAGCTTCAGCTACAGCTTCATGCCCACTGAAAGTCTGCAAGTCTCCGGCCCTGAATAATTTTCTTGATGGGCAAAGATACAGGAGAGTCTTCAGCTCCCCCACCCTTTCCCCAGATTTTTTCATCTGACCCCTCTGCACCAGCAAAGCCATCAAAGAAAATGAGGCAACAGGAACTAATTTAGATCATGAGAGTTTAGGAAGTTTAGGAGTGAAAAATAATTTGACGGGGGAACAACTTGATTGGATTTAAAATTCTGCACCGTAATGGGCTGTGTGGGGGTGATAATCGCTACTGAATATTGGGGAAGTAGCCAAGCAAGGAGAGAAGGTCCAGCACAGGCAGAGGTATTTCTGCTTCCCACTTCTCCTGTGAGGTGCTTGCAAGGGAAGCCTTTTCTGCTGCTCCTGCAGAGCACACACAGGCTGCAACTCATTGCCATTTTGACAAGGAGGTCCTCTTGCCGAAAGGAGGGAGCACGCATCACGTTGACTCCGCACACAACTGCACCTCTGCATTTTCCATCCGTGTATTTACTTAATGCCACAATGCTCCTGATGCCTTTCCTTCTGCTTAAGAACTAAATAGTTGGAGAAAACAAACTTGCCTTTCCAGTCAGCTCAAAATTTTCTGTCATTCTGGGAGAAATCCCCAGTCTGTACTAACCCCCCAAGCTCCAAAATATAACAAAATAAATTAGCTCACAGAGAGCACTGTTTTGAAGTGAGTAGTTCATTATCTCCTTGCCTAGGGCAGAGGATTGACGAAAGGAAGAAAAGATCCAGATATTTTCTGGATTCTTCCTTGGAATAAGTTACAGTTTTAATTAAAAATGCTGCCTGGCAAGATGGCTGATGTGCACAGGCTCTGTTGGTGCCCAGAATGGAAAAGTCTCCTTGAAGGAGGGCTATGCACACGTTAGTCTATGTATCGCTTTCTCTGTCTTGATTTGGAACAGTAAACTGGAAATACGTATTTATTTTGTTAACTTTTAAGGATAAAGTCAGGATTGTGACTTGCATTCAGAAAAAAAACCCAACCCAAAACCACTGCTAAAAATCCAATGAGCTCACTCCCTGCTCTGTTGGCCATGGTGGGTGTTTCAGGTGCTGGGAGAAGCAGTGCTGGTCCACCAGCAGCCCCTACATCACCAAGTGGCTCTTGGCAAGGCCACAAGATAAGGCTCTGCTCTTCTCCCCCTTCCCCATGTGCACAACCAGCTCCACCTCTTCTGCTCTGCAGTGCCATTTGCAGCTGGGGTGAAGAACTTGTCTTCCTGCACAGTCTACACTGTCCTCCTTTCAAGAGAGATTGGCTTCTGCAAAGAAACCAAACACCAGGCTCCGGGATAAACAAACAATTTGTCATGTGCAATAGATGTATTGTGTTCATTTGTGTTGATTTGGGGATCATTTTCTGGGTAGTACGAGCATCCAGCTGGGAAGGGAGAATGGGCAGCACAGTCCTCCTCGCCTCCAGCGCTGTTTTAATAGAACCAACAGTGCTGTCACCCAAGAGACTCCTGAAGAAATTAAGTAACATATACAAGGCAACAATTGCTTTTTTTTTTCACGAATGCCAAATGCATTTCTGATTTCTTAGTCCCTTGAAGTGTTTCGGTGATTTCTGTTCTAAATCTGCTTTGCTGCTATCCCCTGTTTCTCCATGGATAATGCAAATGGGCACAACTCCTCTCTACTGGGGCAGGACTGCTGGTAACCTTCCAGGGCCCTCAGGATGTAACGCTGATTCCTAGACTGATTCCCTCTGCTTATATACACAATATTTGCTCCCTGCAGACAGCAGTGATTACGTTGATGATAAGAATGCTTATTGCATTGGTTCTTCCTTTGTCTAGGAATGTATGCCTTAGTGGCCATCCACACACAACGCATACTGGCAAATCCCTTCTAGTCACCAGCCCTCCCATCCCTTGAGGCTTTATGGTTCCAGCTCCAGCAGGACATTGCTTTCACAGAAGGTCCCAAGGTTGTTTCCGAAGCAAGACTAGTCCAATGGACGTTTAAAAAAATAGAAACGAAAACGTTGAGCTCACTTCTAGCAGTTTATCTAGCAGTTAGTGCTTAAATAATTAGAAAATCACAAATTCTTGACTGTAAACACTGAAGGTGCCACAGATTATAGAACAGAAGAATATAAATGGAGGGGGGGATATCAATTCAGTAAAATACGGCCTTCAAGGAACAGCATTTGTCTTGCATCTTAGTATAGTATTTCCACTTCATTTTTTGGCTTTTTACACTATTTAAGATAAAGAAATAGCATGCACTCATTTTTGAGGTATCAGATTATCCACAAGAAGATTTAACCTAACAGAGTTTTTTATACTCCATCAGGCACAGCTATTGCAGTGAAATATTGCTCCTTTCCATTCCCTAAGTCAATAGAAACCAAATACAGCATATTCTCTACCTTCTTTTCAAAGCACAGACATAATGGATGCTATTTCCTTGAGACAACAACAAGTCAAAATAAAAAGAAGACGACAAAATTCTTGAAATACTTAAATTGGCTCAGGCTGCAAGTCCTAATACCTTTTAGTGTCCTGGGTCCCTCAGTTAATAAATACTGTACTGAACCAAATTAGAGATAGGGAACTAATACAAAACTGAGCAAAGCTCGGGTTCAGATTCTCAAAGACACTTCATTCAGCCTCTAGAGTTCAATTCCAATAAGCTCAGCCAAGAAAGGTCTAACTGGCTGACCAGTTATGGAGCAACATAAAAAACTCTGTTCATAACAAGCTCTTTGTATGATACAGACAGCTTTCATTTGGTGTGGGGCACAGATGACACTGCAAAATGGTGAGAATAAGGTTCAAAAAAATGCAAGACTGCAGGGTCAAATTCTTTACTTGGGATATGACTCCAATTTATGCCAAAACCCCTTTAAAGTGGTAGAGCTATAGGACATCAGCAATAGCACACATAGCTTAAATTGTAATTTGAATTTAATCTTGGGGAAGAAAGTCAAGGAGCAAAGAGAAAAAAGGTTCTTATTTCATGGGAACTTATTCCTCCATTTCCCATAATTGCTGCCTACAACGAAGCTCTTTCCATTTTTGGACAGACAACTGCTACTTTGCTGAGCAATACAGGTATTAAAGGCCCTTTCACACCTTCCCATTCGGCCCCGACAAAGCTTCATGTCACAACACACATTAAAAGTGGAATAAGTACCAGATGATAAAGTGTTCCAATGATACATCTGAGTGACTGTAAAAACAGCGTCATCATTTTTAACCTATTAAACCCAGGAGGTTTCAAAAGGTACAATGAAGAAGGCTACTCCTGCCTCTGCCCCACCGCACCAGTGCCTGCCCTTCGTCCTCTGCACTGGTGAGGTAAAAGCAAGAGAGAGAAATCTCTTTTGGTTTGTTCACAGGATAATTACCTGAGCCTTAAGTGAAGCATGCAGAAAATATCCTTTTTCTTTATCAATTTGTGGTTATATCCAGAAGGAATGGGATGGCTTAGATCCAGATGTTTCTGGATAACCCGGGCACCATTTTGCAGACTCCACTGGGATAACAGCTTAGTTGCTGGTTGTGTAACTCATTTTTATCCTGCCCAGCTGCATGCAAAGGTTAAAAAAGATATAATTAGTCCCCTTCTCTGTTCCCACCTCTGGCCCACACAAACCCTGTCTCTTATTCAACCTGTCACTGTTAGCAGTATTATCCAGGTCTCCTGAAAAGAGACAGCAATGAAAAAAATTATGGTAATTTAATTCAGAATGATCTTTCCTTTGTAGTTTGCACATTACTTTTGCAGATACATCTATTAATAACCTGTAGGAATCAGCTTCTATTTACGTAGCACTTCTCTTCCCGAAGGGTCTCTGAGTGCTTTGCTAACCTCAGGGATCATTTCATTCTTTCCTGACAAGCGAGGCTCAGATGCACCTTTATGGCAAACTTCAGGCAAAGGATGGGGAGAGAGGAACGCTGAGCCAACCCACTCCTGCAGAGCTCTGCTAGAGTCCAGCAGAAGGTCTCCTGTCCCATGCAGGTATTGTTACTCCAGTGCCTGAGGCTCACTTTGTCCTTCTCTCCCTGCCTTCCCTCTGGCTGCGCAGAAGGAGCTCCAGAAACCGAGGAGGTTCACACTGATACTGTGTGGTGACGCTTCCAGTTCCCACTCCATCAGCACGGAGCTCATCTTAAGCAATATCTATGGCGTTAAATTAATTATTCATTCAATTTAATTAAGTACTGGAAGCCTCTGGGAACGCCGGGGAGAGAAATCCTGCATGACTGTTACTGTTATTTCTCTATGGGTCTTTTTTTGGACCACAGGTGCACCTACAGGCACCACCAAGACTAGTTCTCATTGTGCTAGGTGCTGAAGTGGTATCTGCTCAGCTGTAGCTCAGTGTTGTCTGGTTAAAGGACAAAGAGGCAATAGGCACACATTGAAATACAACAGGAAATCCCATTTAAATATGTTTTTTCAAAGACTGGCATGTTTCCCAGAAAGGTTGTGGAGTCACCAACCTTGAAGCTACTCAAAACCTGACCAGACATGATCCTGAACAACCTGCTGCAGTTGACCCAGATTAGAGCAGGAAGGTTGGACAAAGATGGTCCCTTCTAACTCAAGCTATTCTGTACTTCTGTACACTTACATACAGCAAAATGCAGAACATAGCTCCAGGTGCTTGCAGTCACAGGTAAAAACTGGAAGGAGCAGTGGGAGAGCGAAGCACCTTGTTCTGTCCACAGCTACCAGACAGGTTGACCAAAGACTTAGGATTCATTCCAGGGCCTATTCTGATGGCCCCTCTACCAGTCCATGCTGGGGACAGAGCATGGAGGGTGAGGAACTGCCTCCCATTCAGAGCTCAGTTGTTACAATGGGCTTCAACATTGCTCAGTGGACATCTAAAGAGAATTCTTCATGTGAACGTAGTATTATTTATATATAATATGTAGATAGAGGTGTGTACATGTATATATGGGGTCATCCTGCCTCAAGTACAGGCCTTTAACTCCTGGAATATTTTTTGTGGACTACCTATATATAAAGAGCGCTGCCAGAGTTATCATCCATAAGTTTTTCTAGTGTCTTTTGTAGCTTCTTTGCAGAGAGCTGAATGGATGCAGGTGCTGTAATACTACAGGTACAGACAGCATTTATACAAACAATGATCGTCTCCAGTGCGGAGCTCCTGGAGCTGTTCGCTCAATGCTGACAGTCCTTGTGGGACTCCGGAGCAAATACTTTCCGTGAAGCAAACACTTTTTCAATGGATTTGACTTCAAAAGCAATTTCTAGTAGCTAAAAAACCTGACCCAAAAAATTACTACTGAAATCACACAGAACACCATTATTTCAACAGACGCCTGGCCATATTGCAATCAAATTTGTGGCCTCAAAGCTCTCCACTCTTATGTGTCTTAACCAGAAATAACTCTCTCAAAATCAACAGGACGATGTTGATGTAAACCCTGTGTTCAGAGGAAAACCTGGCCTTTTGAATGAATTGTTTAGTATTCATATCCATACCTCTTTGTAGCCCTGGCACATTGGAAACAGTATATTAGGAGGGATAGAATAATCTGGCCATCTGTGAGTGACCAAAAGTAAAATCTCTATGAAAGATCTCCCTAACAATGCTAATAATCAGGGAGGTGTTAGGTGTGTAAATGAGCCAAGACCTGGTCTGCAAAGTTGGCACAAAATGTAGCTTTGTCCAGAACAAACCATTCTGTGACAACCTGCCACCTCCCAGTTCAGTTTTCAATGATGTAACCCTCTCAAGCTTTTAGTTTTGTTCTGGTCTTGTAGAAACGCTTAGTTTAATAAAATACCACCGCTTTTGATGTTATTGCTTGGTATTGGCTCTCGTACGTATTGTCTTCTGTATATTGTATTAAGTAGTATTAGATAATGTATAAACATAATATTGCAGATATGTGACATTTGAGACATTAATTCGATGCAAAGTCTAGGCAAAATTAATCAAGATAGTACGGTTGGCACAAAGTAGTTTTTGTTATTGACATGACAGTAGTAAGCCAATTCTTTTAAATCCATACAATAATAACTTCGAAACAAATTTCTTTAGAATTTTAATTTCCTGAGGAATTTAACTTTTCAGTTCTACTTCAGAATGTTTTTATATTAGTGTTAGAATTGCCCGTGGAAGAGGCCTTAGTCCAAACCAGTTCTCATTATAATAAAGAAGAATTTTCACTGCCTTGAAACGGATTTTGAACTTTGCCTTTGAAGGTGCCATTTTCAACCATACCTCAAACTCCACTTTTCAATAGTGACACAAGAAATCACAGTTCTGCTCTCGTGCCAAATCTCCTTCCAGTACAAAGGACTGTCACAAGGCCTTCTGTGTCAGTTAAGCCTCAGATTCAAGTCATGTGGACAATTCTGCTTAAAAGATATAATTTGCTTTTGCCACTGGGGAAATCTTTATAACACATCACATCAATGTCTGATGCTAAAGACTATTTTGAATAAGAAAATAATGCTAAATAATTAACCATATTCATCTTCACTAATCAGCAGAGCCTCAGTGAGTCCTGTTTATTAAACTCATTTTTGTTCCTTATGTGTGTGCTCAAGAGTATAAAATTACAGAACAAAAATAGCATCAGCATTTGTAAAATCTCTAGAGAAAACCAGCTACTGGTGTACTTGACAACAGGGAGAACAGCTGGAAAGTCTAATACCCACCTCCTCCAACCACATAAAAAACAAAGATTCTGGCAGACTGACCAAGGCTTATGCTCCATACTTCTTCCTAATTCTGTCCCTATAACGTAATTTTCTCTGTAAAATACAAATATCTTGATTTTTTTAATTTATCTTTTTTAACATGTGGCACTAAGCTCTGCCTTTCCTCTTATGCAATTACCAGTTTAAGAAGCAGCTACCTTCACTCAACCTTTCTGCGGCTTCCTTCTTATCACTGCCAACATACCAAATCTGTCTTCCTACTTGTAGGCTAGAAGCAGGAAGAATAGAAGTGAGATAAATACATCCCTAAGCTGAAACTGTGCTCCTTGTCTCCCGAGACCAGCCATCCAGTATGTTCACTTAAGCAGAGCTGCTGGCAGAAAGTGAAAATAAGCCATACTGGTCATTTATACTCCATCTAACGTGGAGTCCCAGTTACACCATTTCAGAACTGGTGGGCACAAATCATTGAAGAGGAGGACTGGGAGAACCAGCCCAGATAATGCAGACAGAAAAACCATGCTGGTTTGTTTTGGCTGGTTTTTTTTGTTGTTTGGTTTTGGTTTTTTTTCCTGGGGAAAGTTCTATAACCTCTAAGCATGTGAATAAAGGTCCAGCCTTCTGAGCAAGGGCTTGACATCAGCATAGCAGAAAACAAAAGCTGTAGAGAGATGATAACAGACTAAAGTAGAAAACAGAGATGCAAGTCCAAGATTAATAATGTTTTTTAAAGAAGTTATATTGTATGTATTACATGGCACAATACATAAAACTTAAGGCTCTGATATCTGTTCAAAGATACCACACAAGAAGCCACGATCAGTGGATTAGGAGCTCTCACTTGGTAGCAGCCATCTGTTTGATTAACGGCAGGCAGGACTACGCGTATCAGCAGACATCAGCGAGGAGAGATACAAACCAAAATCAAACGGCAAAGGCACAAACAAAAGTTAAAGGAAAGGAAATGTAGGAACTTCTAAAACAAGATATTCAGGTAATCCTACAGATTTCTGAGCAAACTGCTTCCCTGTGCTGAGAAAGGAAGATGCTCCTTTCTCTTCTGCCATTGTGCTTGTACATATTCAGCAAAGCTGGGAAAATGGATTTTGATCTAATCTGCTGCTTGCAGACGCTATTGATCTGGCATAAGGAAGAAAATGTATCCAGTGAGTATTTTATGGCAGGGATGAAAGCTAATTCAATATTCAGATACACAGACAATCCAGTAGAAATAATATTCTCGTAAGGCATTAAGCTAATTAAAGTGTTATAAACTCTCTATCAGATTATCCTCTTTATTTTAGTGGTCCACTGGTGTCAGCATCCCTCATTGTCACTGCACATGGCAATCCCATAGAGACTAATTAAATTTCCCTGGCTTGTAATAAGAATACAGGGGATTATTTTTAAATCCATTTTTTACCTGTATGAATAAGATGTGACCAAAAGCACAAACATGCCTATGTCATCTTCTCCTAACTGTGTCTTTCTCTAGAGCTTGGGAAGTGTATACCAAAGCCTGGAAACCAGGAAACCATGGCATTTCTACCAGCAGTTTGTCAGCTGCAGCAGGATTAGTCTGGATAAACCATAGCATATGGGTACAGGTGAGAAAAGAAACAATGGCTTCATTTATAGCTAGAACTCAAGAAGAGGAGCCTGAATATGGTTATGACAGATTAACACCTACCAGTCTTTCTGAGAAGATAAAAAGGCAATTGTAAGCTCTGGGAGCTCTACAGTGACAGAGTAAGAAGGGCAAATGCAAT